GCTTAACCGACTGAGCCACCCAGGCGCCCCTCATTTTTTTTTTTAAAGCTTATGACATAACCCACAGAAGAGTCAATATCCCAATATACCTGTTTCCAAATTCAGGTAACGCTCAATGTTCTTGTAGTCAGCATTTCTTCTTGTTTGAGCTGAATCGTGGGTTTTTTAAAAAATGTTTATTTTGAGAGAGAGAGAGAGAGAGAGAGAGAGAGAGAGAGAGAGAGAGCATGAGCAGGAAGGGGACAGAGGAAGAGGGAGATAGCATCTCAAGCAGGCTCTGTGGTGCTTCATTGTCAAGGGGCTCAATCCCATGAACTGTGAAATCATGACCTAAGCTGAAATCAAGAGTCTGATGCTTAACCCGCTGAGCCACCCACGTGCCCCAAGAATAACGTATTTGAACTGTATTCCAGTTAAAGGGAAGCTGGGAATTTGTGGCCATTATATAGTTTGTTGGAAAAGTTTGTACTGAGGGCTCTGGAAGTGAGGTGTGTTGAAGAGAGTGATCAGGATTTTGAGCAGATTTGCTTCATGCTGCTGCTCTTAATGATAACAGACTTATTGGATATTCAGAAAAAGTCAAAATAAAGGATGAAGCTTGTGTTTATTTAATGACCTTAGATGGCTAGGTTGAGGAAACCAACCGAAGAAATATATAGAGCTATAGTTTTGGAGTTAAAACGCATCACAGAATTTACATTAACATTCAAGATACTTTCCTACTGCTGTAATTAGAATAAACAGTGAGGTTTTGGGGGTGCCTGGGTGGCTAAGTGTCTGACTTCTGCTCAGGTCATGATCTCAAGGTTCATGAGTTCGAGCCCCACCTCAGGTTCTCTGCTGTCAGTACAGAGCCTGCCTCATCTTCTCTGTCCCCCTCTCGCTGCCCCCCCAGGCTGGCACACATGCTGTCTCTCTCTCTAAAATAAACGTTAAAAATATTTATTAAATAATGAGGTTCTGTTAAAAACAAAACAAACATAATTTATGCAATACTATCATTCTGGTTGGCATGATAAAATTGATGGATGACTAGTACTAATAATTATGCTCTTTTGTACAAATAAAGCCAATTTATTTTGGACAGATTTTGTATTACCACTAAAAATCCAAAAAA